GTTTTTAGTCGTGAGCTACACTTTCTCTCGGGCACTGTCGGTGACTGTTCGCTTAACTGCGTTTAGACAGAACGGCGGATCACAAAAAGAAATGAATTCAAATAACATGAAGGTAACACTGTCCAAATATTATACAATTGTCTCTTTACGCAACACCTCACAACGAGAAGGAATACGGGGCTCCACAGATGAAGTCCTTAATGTGTACTGTGCAACATGGATGTCAAGCGAGAATTATCTTCCAAAAGGAATAGTGGAAATAGGATTAATTTCGACCAAGAGTACATAAAAATCCCCTGAGGCTCGTGTGTGACACATTTCTCCACAAGAATCACAGTGTTTGAACAGTAAGAGAGACCAGGACCTGCCAACGCAATTTCACATGTCCATTCACATGTTCCAGTACAAACAGAGCGCTGTACTGACCAGTTACATGTTGAGAACTTACATTTAATTTAACCTGATCTGAAACATTTTAGAAACATCCTGTCTGAAAATTATCAATAGTGTGTGTTTCGAGTGATGGGTGACATTTTTTAACATGACATTCATTTAAACATTTAACTTAAAATGTGATTTTGACTTGGTGTACCACGTACTGTACGTGTCGTGCACGCAAAGGCGGAAACCAACATTAAAATAACTTGAACTTTTACATACAGTACATAAAATACAGCAATAACATACACCTTTATACAATATATAACAATGACTTTACTAGTCATAACAAATTCATAATTAATGTAAATATTTCACTGGATCTAAAAGCTGTTTCTGTGGTGTACCTTATTACCACTGCAGGTGAGTCAGACTAACGACAAACTTCCAAGGAAGTAAAGTAAAGGCACATCTGAACTTAACAAAGATCTTCAAATGGCCTTTTTACAACAACTTGCTTTTCCGACATCCAACAATCTCACACGACAGAAAAGATCTGAACGTTCAAACAATCTTCAAATGGATTTTTCAGAAATAACTTGCATTTTAGATTTACACGCACAGCTATTAAGAAAATAGATATTTTAATGAGGCTAACAGCTGTTTCAGTGCTGAAGTTCCATAATGTGAGCTGCACACTTAACAAATGAGTTCTTTAGTGAAGACAGTGTTTTCACTCAGTACAAAGCACAGAATTACTCAAATGACCTTTCATGTGGCACCAGTGTCCAGTCTGTGTTCAAAGGAGAAAGAGAACAATTCCTGAGGTTTGTCCTGTTCTTGGTCTTTGTTTCTGCTCTCTCACTGGGTTTGCAGGACACTGCAGTCTGAACCCCTGTGTGAAAAGAGCCAGGGTCTCTGCACAGGACAAGCAGGGGGAAAATCAGGCTGGGATTCCTCCCATAAAAAAGCACAAAGAACCTCAGTTCTACTTCAGAAGTGAAAGCAGATTCATCAGACAAGACAGCTGTGCGTCAGGAGTAACCAGGAGGAGCTGCTCCTGCTTCAGCAGACATGATCTCTGCAGTCAAAGAGCCTGCTGGCACTCAGCGGGGTCACATGATCAGGCTTCCTCTGTGACATCAC